GACACCTGAATCTCTAACAAAGGGCAAGTAAAGGACATGAGACAAACCTCTTACAGTTATTTTTTCTCTCCCCTTCCATGAGGATTATTTCTTCAAACTTCAGTTCTATGCTTGCAACTGGAGCACCATTTCACTACCTTCCGTTTGCAATCTTAGATCCTCTACTCTTGACCTGTCTTTAATGACTCTGTTGTCTGCCGTCCAGCCCCTGTGTACCGTCTGCATTTGCTGTCTGGAGTTCTCATCCTCAACTTTCTCCCCTTGGGTTTCCATTCCTTGGCTTCGAAGGAATATTTTCCCACCAGCCTCTGAAGATGCCTTCCTAGCCAAATCCCTGTTCTCTTTAGGACAACTTCAGTTTCACTAATAACACCCTTCTGGACATTCTGCCCCCCTTTTAACTGCCTCAATTTTAGTGATGCCTTTGTATTACCAGAAGACAACACCACACCTTCTCATTGCTCCACCCCAAGTCCTCTTCAACTCAGCTCTTTTTAGATTCTCCCTACCCCTTAAACAAGATATATTCTATTATGTGATATTACATACATGCTAGTCAACTTCATAATTGCTCCTGTACTTAACACTAATCACAATTCTGCCCATTCATGCAATAATCCTACGTATTGCTTGGAAAAATGCCAGTCTACATAAGGCAGCAAAGACACCGATACCCTGATTTTGCTGGTTTATTGCCCTAGTAGCCCAGATCTGTCTTTATCATCAGTGTCAGCACTTTCTGTGCACTGCTTCACACAGCTCTACATAACTGTCTGCACAATTTCCCTTCCCCTTTTAAGAACGCTCACCAGCTTAGACATCCCCATACCAATAGCCAGCAAGATCCAAGACTACAACATCCATCTAGAACACTGCTGCAGAGATCCTGTCCGCAGGGCGTCATTTGGGCACCCCATCCACTACCCCCCCAACCCCCAGCTCTCATCTGCAGCTAAAACAGTGTTCCTACTTTCAGACATCCTGCTGTTTACACTGCAGTGCAGCTGCCCACAAATAACCATTACATTACTTTCCCCTTCCTACTCTCCTTTATCAAGACACAAGTTTAAAAAAAAAAGACCCTGAACTACAGCACACTACAGCGCCTCTCACTCTATCAAGCAACATGGTTTCATAGTTTCTTCTTGCATTTGCCTGGCTGCATCCATCCACTATCTCTGATCTTCTAATTAAACAACAATACCAACAGTTAAAGTTCAGAAGCCACTGGAGCATGTGTCCCTTCACAACATACAACACTTAGTGAAGCCCCAAGCAATCAAATAACAGTCCTTCATACCTAAAGACCCCTTTCAGAAAGGGAGTCAAATTATCAATTTTGCACCAAGTGCTGAAATCACAGAAATGGGAAATTATTTCACATGCAATGTAGTGGAAAAATGGGGGGGAAAAAAAAGAAATCAATAGTTTGCTCCACACAGCAACCTAAAAATCAGCACAAAGACAGAACGAATATTGAAGGTGAAAACCAACTACATGATCACATACTTGCAAAGAAACTATAATTTTACTTTATGTGCATATTTCCCCTTCATCTTATATTCAATGTATATCAACTCAATCAAATCAAAAGAAAAAGAACCAGCTATTCACTACTGGGTTACGTTTAGCAGTAGGCAGTCTACTGTATTAAAGCATTTTTCCCACCAGTTCTGAATCTGAATTGATACTGTCAACAGCTGCCAATAACACAAGACATTCTGCAGAGTCAAAGGAAGCAGATTGAAAAAAAAACCAGTAAAATATAATTAAAGGTAAACTACCAGCTGAGTGATGCTATAACCACAAGCATTTTACTTCTACGGATGCGTACATCTGATAAAGGAAATGCAAGGGCCCTTCCTTGCAGCCAGGTGGTGTTGCCTGGCATCAGTGAATCAAGGTTGCTCAATTATACAGATTATGGATCTCATAGGGGTTCCCATCCAGGCCAGTAATGGCAATTTTGAAAAATAGGAACACCATCACCCTTAGCACTGAGTTTAGATCAAGCTCCACTGTAGCCAAATCCTGATATCCATGACTGCTCTCACAGGGCAAAAAAAAGGCTAAAAGCACAATAACCACAACAAAAGGCTGTAGACTAGTTTGATTTAGCAACATCCATTTATAATTTCTAGTCCAGCAGAAAGAATTCAGCCTAGCATCTGGTGGTTCGCGGAGTAACACTTCCTAGCCTGGGATGTGACATCTAATTCTTTATAATAGACAGACCAATAACTTTTCTCCTCCATCCTCAAGAAATGCAGAAATTAAAACTGGCCACACACCAACTAAAGGCAGTAATTTCTGTTTGTACCAGCATTGCTAAAAGTGTTGGCTGAAGACATTGACTGAGGACAGTAAGATCAATGGAAGCCCTCCCACTTATATGTATAACACACAACCAGTGGGGAAAAAAAAAAGTAGTGTAACATGCAAGCTTAAAACAACAACATTTACCCTGCATCAGTTACCTGCCCACACACACAAGGCTCTAGCAGACTAACAACAATATGCAACACTGCAGCTAACCTACTTGTCTGCCCAAAGCCCTTCCAAACTCACAGCTTACTTGAGAAAGGCAGTCTCATGAAGTCAATCCCTTTGAGGGGGAAAGCTGCATGGACTAGAATTCACTGCAGGCTCTAATATAGATGAAATATCATCCAGATCAACTGTCTGTCCTGGAAGGAGATACTCTAATGCTTCTTTGAAGTGTTCTGTTACTATTAGTGGGTTTCAAAAGCAGATGTAAACATAAACCAACTCCCACTCCCTTCCACTGCCAGACTAATCAGAGATTATCTACCCAGGAAAGCTCTTCTCAGTTAACCCTCTATATGATCACACATATGGCTGGCATAACTTTTTGGAAGATGCCCTTCCAACATACAAAAAAATAATCCAGACTTAAAAGCCACCACAAACCACATCCACAGTTCAGAAAATCCCTTCGCATGAGTAAAGATTGGATGTTAAAACAATGCCAAGTCATTATTACCTTTGTGGGTTTTCAATCAGATCAACCTTTTCGTTTCTTTTTTTTTAAATAAAGGAAAACATAAAGACCATTTCAAATAGCGTAAAGTTACATCAACAGAACATTATAGTGAGAAAATTCATCCTGTAACATCTGGTAAACAAACCATATTGGTTATGACTTTTTTTTTTTTTTTTGCAGAAGAGAACAAGAAGTATATATGCAAAACAAAAAGCAGCCATCTAAAATGCTTGATTGCATGAGCACTAGGTCCAGATTCAAAAGTAAAAATATTTTTCTGTGACTTACCAGAATTTCTCTTTGACACGAGCTTCAAATTCATGCTGACTACAGTACAGATCACAAGAACCAAGAGAACAAGAGGCTTCATCTTTCACTTTCTGTGACAGCTGAAATGCAAACATAGTATGAAGTCTGAATCACAGCTCTTCACTACAACAAAGCAGCAGCTACAGTTAAACATTTCTCAAAGAACCATTACAGAGCAATGGCTTAATCTAGTGACTTCTGCGTTTATTTTTATGCAGAGGTAGGAAAACATAATGGTTCAAAGTAACTGTCCATGAATAATTTATCTCTGACTATCATACAAAAGGGTTGGGGTTTTTTAAATGACACTTTGAAAATATTATTTTGCTTCAAAAAACCCCCACAGGACTTAACTGTTTATTTGAAATAGTGTGGGTCTAACTTGGCAGATTTTTGTACTTTGTTTAAGGGGGAGACACTCATGGTCATGATTAGTTTTGTCTCATAAAAACAGGCCACACTCGAAAAAACTTCACGTTGTTCAGGAAAAGATAGAGTAAGTTACTCATGCAATTTCTTTTAGCAACCTTATTTTCCCACTGGTGACCTTGTAAAAGTTCCTACAGTGAATTAACTCTATAGGAGATTTCTCCTATAAAGTGAAGTAAGGACAGGTGAACAAAATTCAGAAATCAAAGAATGCAGGCCTTGGGATTCTTATTAAAAAGATAAAATTCATCTCTCCTGTGAACCTTACTACCTACTTTATATTAAGTACATTAAAAAAAAAAAAGAAGAAAAAATCCAGTATAAAATTGTACTTTTAATTTTATATAATTACTGGAACTAATTCTGTTTTCATTTACAAGTACGAGGTCATTCAAGAAAACATTGCAAGAGGAAACTGAGGCCCCTTATCTGTAATTAAAAACTGGTAGAACAAATCTAAACTCAGCAAAGCCTATCTCTCTATATATATCTCTCTCTCTCTAAATGCAAGAGAGGGAAATGCTTAATTATAAGCTAGAGTCCTCAAATATATGCTTAGCTTGAAGTCACAGGCCTTTAAGTGGCTTGATATATTTAGACTCCAGGAATTCACCTCTATATCAGATACAGACTTCAGATCAGGACCCTTATTCTCAGATAAAGAGGGCAGCCATCTAAATCAGTATGAAATTATTATTTACACCAAAAGATTCAGCAAACATTTTATAGCAATTTCTTTTAAACAGAAATATACAAAACTACCTGCATTAGTAGTCAAACCAAAGGCCAATGAAATAGAATCATTCCTTAGCGGCTGTACCACATCCGCCTGCCGAGCCCGCTTAGAGGCCCCTTCAACTTTGGGACCCGCCCATACCCTTGCAGCTCTGAACATTTGCTCAACGTGATAAACCAGCAAGAAGGTCCAATGTCCTGCAGTTCACTGAAAATTATTCAGTTTAATTTGGGTTTATTACATCAAACATTCTTCCCTTGTAATTATACTACCAGCCTATTGTTGTGTGAAGAAATGTAAGGAACCATGTATAATCTTTTACATGATGGCAATTATGCTGCTATTCAATTATTTCAAAATTACCACTTAAAACTGAAGATTTCCCCTTCTCACCTTACCGTACTGCGAGCTATAAATAGGCAATGGATTTTTTTTCCCCCTTGAATTCTATGTTCCCATGGGCACTTTATGCCTATTGATTGCCCACGGTACAAATGCTAAAGGAGTTTTCAAGGAATAATACATGCTGAAGGCTGTCTGACAGTGGTTAATGGCAGAATTAGTATTCATTCTTCCTTAACCTCTCCTTGGAGTACCAAAATCCTGAAACAAGCAAGGCCATCTTGACAAGAGAGCTTAAAAAAAAAAAAAAGTAATTGAACTAAATCTTTTGACAGATAATTGTAATGATGATGTTATGCTAGAATGATTTTCAAGTGTAGCTTTGCAAATTACTTTCTCCACTTTCCTCCCTTCAGTTATTACAGCTGAGGTATGTAACTCCTAGGTCTTTTTTCACATGGGTCCCTCCATCCCCACCCCAAATGAGCTACGCTGCATTATATATACTTAAAAATTCAAAGCAAGTTCTGCCGGCCAACATTCATGCTAGAGATAGGGGAGAATTCTTGGTCCTGTCAGCATTGATAGGAGTTTTGCTTTTTGAGTCCCTGGGCTCACCAAGGCAGGCAGTCTCCATACCTGCAAAAATCAGGAAAATACAGCAGGAAAAGGGCAAGGAATTACTCCACCATCCATTCATTCACAGCCTAGCCCAGAGCCTCAGCTTGTCACATCTAACACAACCCCACTGAAGCTGGCATGGAAACACACATCAGAGTTTGAGGTGTCATCTTCACCATCCTAGACATCCAACCAGAAGAAGGCAGGATCAGTCACACTAGTGTGACCAGCAGGTAAGCTGGTTACTGTCCTGAGACAGCAGACAGCTATAGACAACAAGGCTGTTCAAACTGCAATGTCACAGATGATTTTTTTTTTTTAAACATACAATTTGACAAAGAAAGTAAGGTACAGTATAAGACATATTTCCCCCAGAAGAATGTCAAGCAGCCAGAAGAGGGAAGGTTGTATGTGTCCAGGACAAAGTCTCTAAATTTGTTCAGGAGGAGATTTCTGGGACTGAGCCTGCCAAGACTCCCATCATGGCTCCCAATGGGACCAGTCTCACAACTCCCTCCTCTGGGCTATTCGCTCACATAACAAGCAGCAGGATGGACTAGAGACTCAAGACAATCCTGTGCTAGACCTACTAGGACTTCTGGAAATAAATGTGTGGAAGAGTGTCCATGATCCGATGAGTAACGTGAATAAAACTGTGCTAGCTTGAAGAGATATGAGATGGGACAAACCAGTTAACATTCAATACCATTTCTCTATAATCAAGGCATTTTCCTCCAAACAGGGCTGATTTTGTCATTTGACAAACTTTCCCCTCACAGGCACTGAGCAGCTTTTCCCTGAGGAGCTGCTTACTCTGATGTTGCCAAATCCAAGCAGCTGTGAGTAGGCTCACAGCTGTAGCAAGAACATAGTACTCTATGGATACACCTCACAAGAGGGGGACAAAGTTTAGGACCATTCCCAGAAGAGTGAAGAAGACAGCTTGCTAAATGAAGATAGAGAAATACCAATTACAGCTATCTTGCCCAGGATCACTGAGAGCAGGGAAGAGAGACACAGAACAAAATACTTGTTGAGAAGACCGAAAGAATTGCTAAACAAGTTAATCCAGCCCTGGCTGTGGCCTGCCAGGTTGCATCTGTATTGAGGTAAGTAAAGGGAGGCTGCTACCATCAGAGGGAGAAATGCAGGAGAAGCAAGGTGTGACATCTTTATTCTCAATCATTCCACTGCTAACGAGGCCACCCCTTCCCTCCTCATACCGTTTGATGCTACAGACCACAGACTTCAGGCAGCTTTCCCAGTCTGCCATAAGCACCCAGCAACTACAAGGGGACCAGGCTGAGATGCAGCACAAATTCTGTTCTTCTGACAGAAACCCTGACTCCCATATGCTGCCTAATGCCCTTCACCTGTGTTGACAAACTTAGTTCTTTCTTCTGAGTCCCCAGAAAACAGGGCTTGGGAAATTGTGTCCTATTTTCTTTGTGTACTGCTTGCTGTCCTTCCAGCACCCGCTTCAGCTCGCATAGCTTCCCAGACTTAAAAGAATTTCAAGTGAGGTTAGAAGAAAGCACTGAGAAACATGAAGGAAACTGGAGCATTAATATTCTGCACAAAACCCAGCACTTAGATTCCCAAGTTCCCGCTTCAAATATAATTTAGTTTTGCTCTAATTTCTACCACGAGTTTTGTTTATACAGTGCTCCTTTTTAAGAGAATGCAAGAGAAGAAAAGTGGTGCATGTGTGCACTCAGGCACACGTCTGTGCACAGACTGAGATTTGCTGACACACCATGAGGCTCTGTAGGTTCTGATTTCTCCACAGATGCTCTGATGCAGAAGGTGCTCATTAAAAACAGCAGCCCACCTCTTTAGTGGTTTCCAATTGTCAGGTTTTGTTGTTCAGAAATCTCAGGGAAATAAATTACAGTTTTCACCCCTGACACAAAGGATGAAATGGCAACAGTAATTCTTTCATTGTCTTTGCAGTGTACTAGGTGGTGACTTCTGTTCATTTCTTTTCAACCCATTTCCCTACTCCACTTTTTAAGGCTTTGAATTTTAATATGAACCCTCTCTCAGGTCTTCTATTCTTTTGCCAACACACCAAACCTTGATCTGTTTATTACTGAAAGATTTTCAGTCTATACAATATGCTGGATGGAAACAATCCACAATGGGCACCAGTCCCTTTTTGTTGATACCTCGAACACAAACAAAAAGATATTTAAGATCAGAGATGCATGCTAGCTCAAATAACGTATCTTCAGCTCTACTTGATATGGGTCATGCAGCATTCTTCGCTCTGTTGCTCAATAAGCATCAAAGAATATTTCATTTAGCCTAATTCACTGTGCATCTTCACCATCATAACCAGCCACTTAAGTTGTCTAAATACACAATGAACATTAATTCTACAAGGCAGTGTGCATTCAGCATTTGTCTTGCTGGATTTGAGCCTCCACTGGGCTTGAGTCCTTGACTAAATTCACATCTGGCTAATTCTCCTTGTTCAGCTGAAATTCTGTGAGAAATTTAAAGCTGAGGTAAGCACAGAGGGAACCTTGCAGTGCTTGTGTTGTACAAACTGAAAGTAACTAGCAACAATGAGACATCTAAAATGTCTGGGATTATTACTGGCTCAACAGTGTATCAGCTGCATGACAGCAATACAACAAGACCAAGGTATTGTCCTGAGGAAGCAGAGGGAACCACAACTAAGTACACAGAGCATCTGACAAGGTCACAACACCAATCTGTAATGATTCCTTGAACGGCTGCATGGCTGGATGCAAAAGAAAAGGAACAAACTGTAAAACTCACAGATCTTTTGTAACATGAAAGGGGAAAACTCAGAATCTTATCAGCTATTTCAAAGGCAACAAACAGGTGTTAGGTGTTAACACTGAGGTTTTGCTGGACAGATTGTAATGCTTCCATTAAAAGTTAAATATCTTCCAAACGGCAAC